TTCTAATAGCACATTCTTCAAAAATTCATCAATCCAAAACTCATTTTATTTATCCAAAAAAAAAAAAAAAAAAGTCATTCTAAAAGTCGTCAACAAGGGGATGAAATGTTATTCATGTTTGTTGGTGGTGGTGGTGGTGGTGGTGTGGAGGTGGTGGCAGCTATAGACAGTTGTGTAATGGTTTCAGACAAATAACATAATGTGTTACTCCTGTTTTAAAGTGGGAGTAATGGTAGAAAGTGTTGTAGAGTGGTTTTATATCGGTAACATAATGTATTGCTCATATTTTGTGTTGATGATGTTGGTAAGAAGTGGTGTGAATTTGTTTAAGACGGATAACATGTATGTGAATTGTGTTTTTTAGTGGTCATGGTGACAAATAGTGGTTTCACACGAGTAGTATAATGCGTTACTCATGTTTTATGGTGGCCCACGATGGTGTCTAGTGGTTTTAGACTTCGTGATGGAGGTATTGCTCAGGGGGATGTGGAGTAGTTTCTTAAGGGTAATTTGTTACCTATGTTGGTAAGATAATAATAGAAATTAGTGTTTATGTTCATAAAAGTAATATCTATATAAAATATTTATTTTTTAATAAAAATAATATACAGTAATTTATATGTTATCCTAAAATACTATTTTAAATTAAAAAAAAAACTAAAATATTTTAATGTTAATTTAAAAGTGGCATGGTAATACACATGTTACCAACATTTAATTCATAAAAATGTAATGTTGGTTCTAATGAAAAATTGAAATAATGATTTTAAATGAAAAGGAGGTATATTTAAAAACTATAAAATGAAAATATATGTAAAAAATTGTGTGTGTTTTTTTTAATGAAAAATGGGTATTTTAAAAAAAATTATAAAATGATGTATTTTTAAGTTTTTTTTGGACTAAAGTAGGATGTCTTTAAAGTTACTCGTCCAAATACGAATATAGGCTCGTGCAGTAGGAAATGCCTCTTCATTGGAGCCTCAAAATTGTATGAATGTAATGTACAAATTAACGAGGAAATTTATGCAATTATATAGAATTTCATCCACCCAAATTTCTCTCCAAGTACTATGGGAAAATTAATAGCCTAAACTTTATCACACCTACCTATTTCTACGTTTTATAATAAAAACAACATGAAAATCAAGATACTATTAGGCTTACAAATTTACCTCTAAAAATCACTCAAATCACGTACCATAAAAGAGAAAGTTATCGACTTTGTATAATAAATCCTTGATTGTGTATAGGACCAAAGAATTGTTCCAAATCAACTGAATCAAGGATTACTACCGATCTCTTTCCTTTTCCAATTCCATTAGAACGATAATTAATTCAATAGGAACGAATATGCTGAGAAGATCATAATTCTTCATACATATTATATATGTCCTATTTGCAATTGAAGTCCTCTTAAATTAGAAATTTTGAGACAACAATTCCTACAATCCCCACAGTTTCGAAAAAAGCCAAAAACTCTATTATCTCTTTTGCAGCTTCGATCACAATACTTGGAAAAAAATTGGAAAGCTTTGACAAATTTTGATGGTCTTAATTCTCAAATTAGAGAATTAATGTACTCTGTCATATGAATATAATCAAATAGAATTATCAAATTCTTGGAATTTCATGGTTCATTTCAAATACGTTTGTTGAAAAATATGGTGCAACCTCTTACTTGACTTTCTTGAAGTTCATCAACCATCTATATCAATTCCACCACATACCGTGAATCAATGTCAAGCCCATGCCCATATGCAAGCATGTGGATCCGATAGCATTAACACATAATCTATAATGAAAACGAGCAACATTTCATAAGGATATAAATATCTTACTCATACAACTTTTTCATCGTCTCAGATAAAGAGATACACATTATCTGACTAAGAGCAGTTAATAAGTCTACTCCATCTTTCGAACAATTCTTTCTCACTTGACTAGATTGTCAATAGTTTCATAAAAATTAGTCTTTTTTATGAAGTTATTCTTTTCTAGCTTTTCAACAATAAGCGACAAGTTTTCAAATGAAATATTACTTCCATCCAATCTTCTTTATTTTAGATTAATTTAATTGTAACTTTCGCAAAATTCATAGTTTCTTTCCCATACATCAAAATAGGTTTGATGTGTTCACAAGAAGATGGAAGGAGCCGAATGAGTATTAACTCTTTATCCTCGTCATTAATTTTCACTCTAATAGCCCCTAATTTAGTCTGTGACTTTCGTAATATACCCGTTCCATCGAACGAAATAGTTTCCTAAGTAAAACAGTTTTGAAAGACTCTTTGTTTAATATAACTATTTAGGAATTTCTCCAAAATTCCTTTGTAGTAGATATTTATAAATATTTGCAAGGATGATTTTTTATTTTTTATTTTTTTTCCAATTCTCATCGTTCATATAGGAACTAGGGGTTAGTTTCCCTTACAAAGCCTTGACTTGGCCAGTCTGAATCAAGATATCAATACTTGTAATCAGCCAAAATTGATTTTTTTTTTTCATCAAATTTTTACACGTGTATTTCACACTCACCTTTTTTTTCTTTTGCTCGAAAAAAATCAATGACCTAACACTGGTTGTGCTTGTCGGGAATTGGGACCAATTCTCATTATATGCTCCCATGATTTTTGTTTGAAGAAATAGTAGACACAAAAATATAATTAAAAAGAAAAATTATAGACGGTTAAAATTTTGACTATTTCAAAAAAATTGTAAAATTATAAAATGTTACTCATTCAAACGTTGTAACAACAATCTCTTAAGATTTCCTATGCTCACCAATTTTACTCTTTATACAACCCACAAAAGAAAAAATAAAAATAAAAAATACATTAGAATGATTTTAGAATTAGAATATTTTTTCTCTAATAATTCCTTAAATCATGTTCCATAAAAATATAGCATAGACACGTTCAAAAACATGTAAATAGTTACTCCAATTCAATTAGAACTCTAATTAATTCAAGAGAAAGAGAATGCAAGAGAAGATAAAAAAAATAATAATAATAATAAATAAATAAAATAAAATTCATCCAAATTATTATTATTCTATTAGCGATGGAAGTTGTTGAATTTTTTTGACGCAGCAATCCCAATATTGGAAGGCTTGCCAACCACTACAGAGCCCATTATGATTCACTAGGTTGGACCTATGGTGCTCGGACATGAGGCAGCTTGACACATTTTGATTTTGGCGACATTCTTTGACCATAGTTTCAACTTTTTTAAAATGATTTTGTTTTGTTTTTTTTTTGTATTTTTGTTGATGACTGAAATTGAATTGGCAATTTTAGATCAACTTATTGAAAAGTTAAGTAGAGTAATTGCTGGAAAAGAAATTCTTATTGAAAGTTTTTTGGTAGTGTAGAGATTGTTTAGCTCGGTTTTATGTAGAGGACCATTGGCCCTATTTATCGGCATGAACAATCTGTTCCACCCAGTGTGCCATCATCCTCCTTGAAGGGCTTTCATTGATTATTAAGTTTGGCGAGTCAGGTATCATTTCACCTAGTTAGTAATCCTATGGTTTAGGTTATGATTGACTGCTGTTAAGGTAATCATTACTTTCTTCCAGTTGGTGAGAGATACGATTTTGAAGTCAGAGATGCCACTCATCCCCTTGGTGGTTGGGGGATGTTGGTATCATTAGGGAACATTTTCGGTTAGATAAGATTGAACGAGTGTACGCAAAACCAGGTAAGATTATTCCCCCGTTTGAGCTCCATTATTTCTCATTATATTAAATTAAATTTTTCTCTCACCTACTTTTAACCACACAATCTTCAATAAAATAATATTACACGTAAATCAAAAACTTTTTAACCACTCATTTTTTTAAAAAAACACTATTCATCGCATTATAATCTACAAATAATAAGGTTCAAACGGCCCCTATATATGTCGATGACGGTGAGCTGTGGCCGATTTGACTTTATGGACTTGCTGTCCAACCTCATTCAAGGTTTTTAGAAATCTTATATTTAAGTCATTTTCAGTCATTTGGAAAGAAGGTTCATGGTTTAAGGTTGAAACACCAACAATATTGAAAAAGAATTATTAGTGTCTAACTATTAAGATAGCCCATCAACCGTAACCAAGCACTCAATTCGAGTGTAAAATACTATATCTTAAGCAGATGAAATTACTTGATCCTATTCAAAAGTCTTCACAAGACGGTGACGAAAAAAAGAGAGTTAAACGCTCGATTTCTAGTGGTCCAAGATTAGTAGCATTGTGCGTCTCTACCGTACTCCAACTCGATAGCCGTGATTGTTCGAAATCTATAAATTTATTGCCAAAAAATACTGTTCCAAATCATCTGTCATTGTGCAAAAACAACAAAACAAGAACATGGTGGCATGAATGATCATAATATCACTTGAACCTTTTATCTCCTTCACCTCCTTAACCAGATTGTTTTCGATCATCCACCGTTGGAAGTCTGCCGTTATTGTTTTGTCTTCAGTCGCCAATATTAAAACCCGAGGCACGGATCCAATTTTTTCATTGCCTTGAGCAAATCTTCTATGAACAATGGCCCTGGCTTCTCCAAAAGATCCCCTCGTGTATGATCCCGTGAAATAATATTATGCTTAAAATTAAATGACTATAGTTTATGTTTAGTTATGTTCGTAATTGTATTTTTTTTTACAATAAGAAATTTTTAAGTACAGCTAAACATGTTCTACGATGAAAGCCTAGTATTTGACTCTTGACTTTTTGGCTACCACCTCATCAAGCAATTTTTATTTCGATCAATGAATTAGCCCTAAAGTATTAACATTTACACCTAAAACGATCATTCATTCTTCCAAGTCGAGCAAATTTGAAATGGATAAATGTAGGTCACAGGATGTGCAATGGGAATTAATTGATTGTCATTTGCCTAATATTTTAATACACTCTCCCCAATTTTAAACTATCAAATGCTGCTAAAAATTTAATTTTAATTGACGTTGAACAAGGACTAAATTTTAAATAAATGAATTTATTTCTCTTTAATGCGTTAAGTTTTGAGACTGGGCAGTATAATTTTTCGTTTTTATTCTTTGGGTGTTCTTAAATGTTACCTGTTCTAAAACATAGGAGCGCCTGTTTTTTGAGTCTGGCATGATTAAAACACGGCCATTGCAATCTTCTCCAGGTACTTCTCCATGCCCACGATCAATCCGCCACCACTATGTCCGATAGGTAAAAACTAAAAACTTTTTCATTCGCAGGAACAAAGGCCAAAAGTCCAACGACGGCATCGTGTATTCATACAAGTAAGAACCTCTTCTACTTTCTTCTCATTGAAACCGGCGGCAGCCAAGATAAGTGCCATGAACCGGATGCCGGACGCCTCAATACGTGGCTTTAGCTTGTAGCAAACCCAAGCTCCATGGCCTATACCATGTACTGCAACAGAATGTGCTTTTTGGCGTTGTTCCTGTGCAATGTTGGCAGCACTTGTATGATGCATTTTATGCAATTATTGTGTAAGAAATCAATGAAAAATTGCAAGTGTTCTTTTGTAAAAATTCTGTCAAACTTTTTTGTACTTGTACCATAACTCAACTTAAAATTTTTGTTTCCTTTACTGAGTAGAATGAAATTTTGAATTTTATGCAGAGGTAATTTTGTAGTGTTCGTGGACTATAAATTATTTGGAAATTCAAATTTTTGTGTACGTTATATTCCTAGAAGAGTTTTTTAATGGGTAATTATATTACCACTACAAAATTTAATTACTACACCACATTATAATCACATCACAATTAAAATATATTTCAATAAATACACCACAACAAATTTACAACTATACTTCTATTCCAATAATAATTAAAAAAAAATGGTGTGCTCATCATCTCAATATTTAATTATAAAACATCAAAAGTATGAACACAATTACATAGATAAATAGAATTAAGGGATGTCAACGAGTCGAACTGAAAATTTAAGGATTTGGCTTGACTCGGATAAAGTGATCAAGCTTTTTTCCGAGCCCGAGCCCAGTTTGGCCAAAAAAATTAGGTTTGACCCAAACTTTCGACTCAAACCTTTCCGAGCAGAGCAGGGCCGAGCTAGGCAAGCTTGATTTTTGGTGTTCTTTTTTTTTTTTTTTTAATTAATAAAAAAGACAACAACCTGCTGCCCAAAATAGGCAGTAGCATTTGCCTAAAATAGGCAATAGCATGCTGCCTTTTAAATTTTATTTTTTTGTATTTTTTTAAAATATAGGCTCATGAGCTTGAGCTGACGAGCCACACGGGTCGGCTCGAGCTTTGCCCGGCACGCTAAAATGGGGCTCGGCTCGAGCCTTGGCTCAATTTTCCTGAGCTTTGAGTTGGGCGGGCTTGAGCTTTTTTGAAGCTAAGCCATGGACGGCTCAAGCTGAGGAGCCAGATTGCCATCCCTAAAGAAACCTACAGAAAATTGCTTTAGTAAGGTAAACGACTACATTTTGTTGCAACACTATTTTTGCTCTCCAATTGAGCTCTATGACTTGTGACTAGTCTCTTAGGGACATTCACCTACTACTTTCTCTTAGAGTGTGTTTGATTTGCATGAAAAATATTACCTAAAAAAGAAAATATTTTTCATCTTTTGTGGAAAATAAAAACCACCTCCACCCAAGGAAAATGTTTTCCATAAAAAGAAGGAAAATTAGACATATTTTCAAAAGTTGGAAAATATTTTCCATGGAAAAAAATAGCAATTAAACAGTCTAAGTAAGAATTTGGGTGGAAAACTGATATTTTTCATAAAGAATAAATGTAATTAAACACACCCTTACTGTTTTGCTTCAATTTCTTCATTTTAAAAAATAAAATAAAGTTCGTCCTAAGCCCTATTTTTTCTTCTATTTTACTTCGGATTCTGTCTTCTCATTTAAGAAATTTTGTACGAAGTCATGGTACACCACTGGAGTAAAGGCTACATTCTTGATTCAAGTATGTATGTTACCTTATATTTGACGTCAAAGTTTGATTCTATCTTTCCCATTTCGCGACTGCTATGAAGCCCGACAATTATTATTGCACTTCATTAAAGAAGATGTAGGTATTGAAAACAATAGACAAGCCCGGAATCTTCTCCTTGAATGCTCATACGATGGATCTCTCGTCGATCTGATAAAAAAGAATGGAGGAAAAATTTTAGAATATCATGTTACACGTTACAATTATATTCTGTTGGGAAATTTTCACCACCGAGGTTTGGAGAAGCTGAGAAACAAAATATCAAGAATATGAAATGAGTAGAGTTCAAAACAAAATATGAAGGCTCAAACACGAAATTAATCTCGTTGTCCTCAAACGATATTTGCCCCCTCTTGAATATGATTTCGGTGCTTAAAAGGTCTCATGGCAAATTATTTGTAAGATTAATCAAGCCTTGTTGTAGCAAAAAACAAAAGTAGAAATACTTTTCTACCCGAACTTGAAGAACACATAGGGAACGTATAAATATGGAAGAAGAGAGGATTTTTCTTTCTTGTGGAATGAAATTAATATAATTCATATGTTGCAATATGATTTCAATATGTATGTGATCATCATCAAACTCCTATTTATAGCCAAGAAACATTGTGACCGCATGGTCCAATACCTTGACTTCTTAATTCCGTCTTCATTCCATACGTCGTTTATTGATTCCGAATAACATTTTCCATCAATCCCCCACTTGTTCAAAATTCAATAAACTCTCATATTCAAGGTATACAATACTTATGCGTATAGGATTAAATATCTTTCGATTTGAATCTAACTATAGTGTAATCCAAACAAAGTAAAGTCAAAATCAAAAGATAGCGTGAAGCTTTGAACCAATTGTTCCAAGTGATAACATTGGTAAGGACACGCACATAAGTATTACATTTTCTCAAGTTCCTCAAACTCGCTTAGCGATAATACGGCCTTGCGCCTATCCTTTTTAGTAAAATTTTAAGAGAGAAACTCCAACTCTATATTGAGGCGACACCATCTTGAAGTTCGTCTAGGTAAAGTTCTTCCAATATCTTTGTTACTATTAAAGATACTTGTGTTTTAGCACTGAACATCTTTAAAAGCTTAAAGCTTAACCTTCAGTTCGGTAACAACCAACATTATTAATTAGGATAGAATTATCGTTGATTTTTATGATACTGCAACTATCCACATATCGATTGATTTGTTGTAAACCTTTGAACCTATGGATTACCTATTGAGTAATGATGGTAGGGTTGTTGTCATTGATGGACCTTTGTATTTTAAGAGTTTCAACTCCATCCTACTCGAAGTAGACGCCTCAAAATCTCTACTTAGAGGTTTTAGTTTAAAGTATCTGCTAAATTCTCTGCAAAAATTATTCCATCTTTAATAATTTCTGTGATTAGAAGGTATTAGTAACTTTTTAATATAAGTTACCCCCACAATTTATTTGATAAATCTAACTTGTTACTACCAAGAAATTCTCTTATGAAGTTACATGCTTCTCATTAGCTTTATTTAAAGCTTTATACATTTCCAAACATGATTGAAGGATTTCTATCAAATCATTACACTAATCAATCACTTTGACTAGTGGATTCATATATGGATATTCGATTCTCATCATTGAATTATTTCAATGATCTTCAATTTCTAAATATTCTTTAAATATTTCTATTGGTTTTGCAAGTGCCATGATCGGCTTTCACCCGTTTCATCCACTTAGGCTTAGTGTATTTTATCCTTGTAAAGGATTTTCTACATTTTCTTCTTTATAAATATTTTTCTATGATTAGAAGGTATTACTTGAAGGTCCAAGACTAGCTAACCAAGAGGGAGGTGAATTGATTATAGCAATTTTTTAGAAAATTAATTCTAAGTATACAACTAATACTCACTTAGATGTAGCAATTAATTGCCGGAATCTTATTAAAAATGGGAGCATATGGATTAGTTCGCAAGGGCCAAATTGATCCTCTTCCCCAGGGATCTTAGATAAGGGACCCCTAGGGGAGCTGCCGGGTATTTCTATGACTCCTCGGAATGGGATGATGTCGGAAAGGATTTTTATCCAAACATTAATGGGGCAAATATTCATAAATGTGAAAAAGAGCAAAGACTAAGATGAAACCTCAAGTAATAAATAAAAGCAAAGATAATTAAAAGGGAAGAGAAGTCAAATGATGTGATATGGAGGTTCGATCCAATGCAATAATTTACGTCCCTCATTACCAAGCTTTCCGTCATGAGTAAGGCCTTTTTCACTATATTGGTTGACTTATGGTGCAATCCAACCTTCTTACAATGCTTCTGGTGACTTACAATCAAGAAGCATCGATCCTTATACACCTCTGAGCTTTTTGAGACCTCAACGGACCCACAATCCAAAAACAAAAATGAAATTACAATTAAGACCTTCTCTTCATTAATGATATGAACTTAATTAAGAATCAAAAGAGAAGTAAGTACAACACTTCAATAATTCACAAAAAGTATAGCTCAAGTGTTGTATAAGAAAAACCTTTTTGAGATATATGATTTTTACAAATTTTTGATCACTCAAAAAGTTTTTCAAAACTTGAATGATTTGATCTTTTAAGAATTGAACACTACGGTAGAAATGATCAATAAATGCTTTACTTTAATGCTCTAGAATTATTGTAATGATTGTGGTAGAAAGTGGGTATTTATAGCCACCAAAAGGTAAAAAATATGTTAATCCGGACAAGTGATCCAAACGTTCACTTGGGGTCTGGATAGGTAAGTAGCCTTTGAGAAATGGTCACTGAAAAAACTGTTGGGGGGTTCATCCGGACATCTGAACAACCCCATCCGGACGTTTGGATGGGCAGAACGATGCCCCTCCGGACTTTCTCCTTCGTGATGAAATTATCAAGCAAATACTTTAAGTATTTTCTCATTTATTGTATAGATAAGTATTTTGTAAATATAATTTTGAAGAACGGGATACTTATTTGTAAATATAGATAGAATAACTGTCTCCATTACTATCTCTAACTAAAAAGTATCATCAGAGATGAAATTCCGAATGTCTTTGATGCCGAATAAATGATCGACATTACTGTAACTAGAATTGTCACGACCTCTCCAACTATGAATGTTTTTAGCTTTTCTATTTGTATCTTCACTTTTACTAGTATTTTCAATAGGACCTTGAAGAACGGGATACTTATCTTTTGAAAATAATTTTTATGCAAGTATTGTTTGTCGTGAAAGAGTCTCATGCATAAAAATTGTTTGAACTATAATCGATGCAAAATATTAAAGCGTTTACATTTGAGTACAAGAATGCATCTATAGCAAAAGTCTTTTACCCCTTCTTTCAATGTGATTTTGATGCAAAGGCTCGATTTCTATTTCCACGCTAGTCAATTTGATCGTTAGGCTCTAAAAAGTTTGTCAATGTGCGTAGTTCTTGATTTTGATTATTCTGTCTTCATTCTTTGTTAGTTTCGTGATAAACACTATCAACACTTAAATCCGATTTGTTAGAATTAAACACAATTTGTTTGTGATAATCAAAACGAGAAGTCAACCATTAGGTCAACATTAGTAACTTTTTAATATAAGTTGCCCCCACAATTCCTTAATTAGGAATGCATATGCAATCTAGAAATGTTGTATACACAAGTCTTTGAACTTTTCATGTAAGTTCACAAACATTTAATTTTAACCCCCACATTTCGGGTTATATTTGAACATAGAGTTCATCAATATGTTAACCCCCACATTTGGGATTATACTCGAACTTAGAGTTCATCAACTCTTTCATAGTTCATTCACTTATCACTTTGATAATTAACAACGTATTTAATTTTTTGATCACACATATAATTTGATCAAGGTCATCTTATAGACTAGCAATGTTTTTCCAAGCATAAACTAACTCAATTGTTTCCACGATTGAAGTCCAAAACAATTAATGAAGAACGATTAACATTTTGATTTACAAAGATTACTACTTCTCCAAACATAAGATAATATTATACCATGTCAAATCTTAAGATACATATTCACCTTTTGGACAAAATCACATTTTGTCATGCTTCCATGCAATTATAATTTTGCATAAATCATTTCACTTAATTTCGTTGAGTTAATCACTTTCAAAGTAATAAAAGGAATAACAATCAAATGCTTGTTCCAATCCTTTATAGATCCATAGCATAAATTTATTCCATCTATGGAAATATCACAGTCTTGTGAAGTCTCAACCCTTCCATATTACAATTGATATTGCAATCTCATTATCACAATATGAGTTGCTACTACCACAAGCAATGGCCGAACCTGCACCAAGCACTTCCAAGACAAATAGCAATCAAAGTTTTACGTTATTTCAAATCTCGAATCTGCTGCATTTTAATAAATTCAATTTGGAGAATACTTAATTATTCTTTTCATGTGTAATCTCATGCATGCCATTGTTTTATTCCAATATAGAGAATGGTTATGAAAGTTCCAGTGCTTTCTTTTACATAAATCTAACATACCATTATTTCCATAATAATATGATATGCACACCAAAACTTTAACCATTAAACCATATGGATGATCACCAAAACATGCACTTGTTCAAAATGAATCAATAATTTATTGATTATCTAGATCCATCTTTCCACGTGAAGTAATATTCATGAAATAAATCTTACTTAGGAAAATCACATACTTTCATCTAGAATATCTCATAATATTTTGCATAATTTTCCATTACCAAATTATGAAAAAAGCACATTTTGTCATCATCTCACTTATTTTCATCAAATTAATTGAGTGTTATCATATCTAGAATATCAATTAATAGTGCTCATCATCTCTAAATATAGGTACGTGTAAGTACGTATATGCAGCATGTTTTCATACCATTTCAAATACAATTAAATCGACACAATTGTCTATTCAATTGCAAATCTATCATGATTTTGACTTACTTTATTCCAAAGGAAATATTAATCCATAACTTTTAATACAGGCCTTTAGATTAAAAAATTTCAGCAAATAAACTGGCAAATTAAACTGTCAACTTTTGTGATACATTTTCGGCAGACGCAACATATATACCATCGATATGAGTGAAATTTAAATTTAAAATTCTACTAACACCTTGGTTGAATCACAGAAAATAATCTGGCAATTAGTCATTTTATTTTTCTCTTTTCAAACATGAACATTTTCAGTATATAAAATATGCACACCGTTTGGAACAGATCATAATCTTTCAAATTTAGAATGCTTACACAAACTTCAAGACGAAGAATCACTAAAATATGGCAATGCAATAAGAGCGAAATTCCACATGCAATAGGCAAAAAATTACTTGGAACATAAAATATAGTATATGCCATAATTATGAGTGCACAAAACCAATTATAAATTTACAGATTTATGTGCTTGCATAAATCTCCAAAATGTCAAGCATATGGTTTGCACATTATAATTTTCAAGAACGTGAATCCCATTTATACGTGAAATCGAAACACAATTTCGACTTACCGAATTTGAAGAATGTGAAATGATAATTTACCGAATCCGAATACAAGAATCTAGATTCATGTCCTTTTATAATTCTAACCATCTCGTGAAGTTTATCCTATCAAATAGTCCACATGAACAAGATCTTGATCCATTAGCTTGATCATCGCCGAAGTGGTTTTGTCCTTCATCACGAAATATTGTTTGAGATTGTTGGAAAATTTTCACCACTGGGGTTTGGAGAAAAAAATCGAGAAACAAAATATCGAGAAGATGAAATGAGTAGAGATCAAAACAAAATATGAAGGCTCAAACATGAAATTAATCTCGCTGTCCTCAAATAATATTTGCCCTTCTCGAATATGATTTCGGCGCTTAAAGGGTCTCGCGAAAAATAATTTGTATGATTAATCAAGCCTTGTTGTAGAAAAATACCAAAGCACAAATATTTTTCTATCCGAACTTAAAGAACACATATGAGATGTATGACTATGGAAGAAGAAATGAATTCTCTTTCCCAAAGAATAAAGTTAATATAATTCATACGCTGCAATATGATTTCAATTTGTTTATGATGATCATCAAACTCTTATTTATAGCCATGAAACATTGTTACACGAAATGGTGCCAAAAGGAAGTGAAAAGCCACCAAAATTTAAATTAAAACCGCCCTCAACAGCTAAATGTTCCTTCTATGCAGTTGCATAGGTCATGAAAGATCGAGGCCTTTAGCCCCTGTTATGCGTCATACGGTCGCATGGCATGTTGGCCCATGCGACCATACGGTCCAATACTTTGGCTTCTCGATTCTATCTTCATTCTATACGTCGTTAATTGATTTCAAACAACATTTTCCATCATATGCTGCTTAAGGGTCTCTCCTACGTTCATAGTCATTCAGGCCTTTGGTTTTGTAGAGAAGGAAGATTCCATGTATAATTGTGGTGGAATAATACTAATTTTTTTAAAACCCATTTATGTAATTTTAGTTAAGACTATTTAAGTAAATAAAAAAAATATTTAAAATTCTTGGTGTAAGTAACAAAATTTGTGGTGGTAATGTAATTATTCTTTTTTATTGGAGCCACGAGGGGCACGAAATTTTTACTTTTTAAGAAAATATTCAAAGAAATAATTTTGGAATATTTTTACTACATTAGTTTTCTAAATGGAATGTCTTGAAGTGTAAAACCTTCAATCACCTTAAAAATATTAATGTAAATCGAATCATTAAATCCCAAAAAAAAAAATCATGTCTCTTGATCAATTAAAAATAAAACAAGGACAATACTATGTGTAGATAATGGAGTATACACAGCATTACACCCATCTCACATGGAGGGGACCTCACATACAATAAAATATTCGTGAACCTCCCTTCATGTGAGGATGGTGTAATTCATTGTGTACACCATGAGGTGTATGCATAGAATTATACATGAAATAAAATTTGAAAAAGCAAACTGCAACATATACAACTATGGTTGACAACTTTTGTTGACAATCATGAGTTAACAAAATTTATACCATCCATTTTAAAAAACTATTTTTGAAATAAACCAAATTGATCTTCACAACACATGAATTGTCAACAAAAATTGTCCACAATCATTGTACAAAAAACTTTACTCTTTAAAATATACTAATGAGTAAAGTATTCTTCAATCAATAACTGATCTAGACTATAAAATCTTGCCATTTAGAGGAAATTTCGAATAAAGACGTCTTTAAAGGTGAGAAGCAATTTAAAACATTTCACTTTTAGGTTATGATGTCTGTGTCATTTGAAGTGACTTATTTATTTAATTAATAAGTTGTTTTATAGCAATTTTATAGACCTAAAATACTATTGTTCGATTGATTTCGTAAGTGTATAAATCATAATAAGTAGTAAAATGATTTTTTTTAAGCCCAATTTTTATCCAACTGAGCTATTTATTATAAATTTTCAAATTAACATAGCTTCAGTTTAAATTACAATGGTAACCAATTATCAATTCAAAATTTGTTTTGTAACTAATTAAATCTAAAATAACTAAAAGTAATCTACTTAAATTCGGTTGAGAACATTATGAGATTTGGTAATTAGAATTTTCAATTTCACCTAGGATGTTTAACATTCATCTTATTCCAATTCATTCAACTCCTTTTCATAGGTACCAACAATCGAATTAACCTATTAGCCAGTGATATATTTTGAGTAACACTAATCTTATTCATATACTCGAATTTACTATATCTCCATATAAATTTACACACTTATGAATGATTTAAACTATATGAATTATATATAGATTGCACAGTCTATAATTATCTCGTGATTTCTTACAATATCCATGTTATTTATTGCACAAGTTAAAATCATAATCAATCAATCGTTGCACATGCAATTAAAGCATTAAACGCACAATAAATAATTAACAAATTAAATTGACATGAAATTTTGAAATTAAAGAAATGTTAAAAATCGTAAATTACATCATCATCCTAACATAAAAAGTATTTAGCCACTTGTAATCTCAAAATAAAACAATTAAGGGTTAAAAGAAATCATTGGGTTTAACTACAACAAATAAGATAAAAATATTATTTTGAATAATTGTTAATTTTCGTCACACGAATCCCAACACGATCCTTTTTCTTTCCTTGATTAGTGTAAATTTTCCGACAATTAGTGTTTGGGATGGAATAAGGCTATACAGCATGATATGAAGTATTGATCACAACAACAAAATGAACACAAAGATAAGAATTTAAATTTGGCAAGGGAATTTGAGATTTTATTCAGCTATAATAGAGAAAAATTACAACAATTACATATTCTCACAATTATTCTAACTTTTGTAATAAATTAGCTTGTAAAGAAGAGCCAGCTATGTATTGGGAGATATCCCCATAAATAAAATTTTCTTTTTTCAATCTCTCTGTCTCTCTTGTAGACAAGAGAGGAAGAAGCAATGGAGAACCAACAATCACTACCGCCACTGCTGTAGAGCCTGTTGAGTATTAAAATGAAGAAAAAATGAAGTAATGGAGAAAGAAGATTTTCATTATTTCCGTAAACTGAGTTACAAGTTCAGTTGTTATAAATAGAGCCAATTACAGCTTCATGATAGCTGGATAACAAACTAACTACTAACTACCAAGAAATAGTTACAAATTGAAAGTAACCGAATTACAAAGAATTACAAACTATAACTGACTTAATACTCTCTCCCTCAAGATGTACTGTAAATATTTTTGACAAACATCTTGGATGATAAAGGGATAAGAACTTACGCATGAAGAGGCTTAGTGAATACATCGGCTAGTTGATGTTGAGACTGAATTGGTAGTAGCTTCACAACACCGGCTGTAACTTTATCCCTAATGAAGTGAAAATCAATTTCTATATGTTTAGTTCTTTCATGGAAAATAGGATTAGAAGAAATTTATATGGCAGTCTGATTGTCACAATAAAAAACTGCTGGAGACAAAACTTCTACCTGAAAATCCTTTAATAGCTGAGTGATCCATACGACTTCACTGATAGTGGCAGCAAGCGCTCTATATTTTGCTTCAGCTGAAGGGCAAGAAATTGTAGCTTGTCTTTTAGGCTTCCAAGAAATCAGTGATTCTCCAATGAAAATGCAGAAACCGGTTGTGGAATTTCGTGTATCTACATACGAACCCCAATCTGCATCAGAGAAGGCTTGAATTTTGATAGCTGGGATAGAAGCTTGATTAGTTCTTGAAGTGGAAGCAGATGATGCTGGAAAGAGCAGGCCTTGACCAGGATTATTTTTCAAATACCTATGAAAGTGGTATACAGCTTTGAGATGAGGTAGCCTAGGTTGTGACAAGTATTGGCTCAATTTGTAGAAAGCATAAGTGATATCTGGACGTGAAATTGTCAAGTATATCAGTCAACCAAGCAATCTTCTGTAGTGAGACGCATCAGGCAAAAGGTCCCCTTCATGTATACTAAGAGTAACCGTAGGATCCATAGGAGTATTGACAGGTTTGCAGTCCAAGTAAACGGTGTCTTCAAGAATTTGTAAGGTATAATGTCTCTGAGATATTACAATGCCTGAGGTAGAGCGAGTAATCTCAATGACTAAGAAATATTTCAAAGATCCCAGATCTTTTAGCTTGAATTGGGAATGCAAGAATTCTTTCAATGATTAAATGACTCAAATATTTGGACCGGTTATGACTATGTCATCCACATACACGAGTAACGCCACACAGTTATTTCCAAAGCCTTTTGTGAATAAAGAATAATCCGCTTCAAATTGAATGAAACCAAATTGTACGAGTGCCTGAGAGAATTTTGAATTCCATTGCCTTGACGCTTGCTTTAGTCCATATATGGACTTGTGTAGTCTACACACTAATTTCTCCCCCTGTTTGGCCTTGCTGTGAACTTCATATCCAAGGGGCATATCCATGTACACTTCTTCAAATAAATCACCATTCAAGAATGCGTTGTTAACATCCAGCTGAGTTAAGTGCCAATTGTGACAAGCTGCCAATGCTAATAAAGCCTTAATAGTCACTATTTTTGTTAGTGGAGAAAATGTATCAAAGTAGTCCAACCCTTCTTTTTGTGTGTAGCCTTTTGCTACAAGACGTGATTTGTTACACCCCTATCTGAACCACTTTGAAAAGATTACCACTGTATCATACGAGGTGTTCACCACCAATCCAAAGTGGTTTCGAAGTGATTTCACCATCGATGTCCATGCATTGCTAACGCGCTGCGAGGTACAAAATAATTCTATTGAACCAACCAAAGTGTCCTCAACGTTGAAACGCAATGCACTCTGAGGGTCGTCACTTTCAGAAAGAGATCTATGTCAAGATCCTCTCTGCTCCTAAGGCTTAATTGATTTGACGTCTCCAAGGGTCTAGTTGATGTGACGTATCAACTTTATATCAACTCAACTCAGGAGAAGTTATTACCCGCCCACACTATAGACGCGACTGATTGACGCCTATGAACAGAAGCCTCACACTGTCAGATGCATACACGTGTCCCACATCCAACGGTCCTTCTCACCTATAAATATCCAAAGTTTGACAAGAGGCTTAGGGATGAAACTCTTACAACTTAGCTCTCCACAACAAGAAAAAATATATATTCTCCTCCCTACTCTCTTGCACAAGTCGAGCACTGTTACGATCACTGGATACTAACTTGACCGTCCGACTGTATACGGCTGCGACCATCCCCGTTGTTTCTGGCCGTGTGCGCCTGACCGTGGGTTGATTGTGCGCAGAAAGGATCATGTGGAGTAGCTATCGGTTGGCCATGTAGGAGGTCCAATTCGCAAGGTCAACAGATTAGCACTGCATGTGAGAAACTTTCCATCTAAAGTTCTACATTCTCCATCGAAAAAACCACCTGAAAGCCATTGACGTACCTTGAATAGGGCACATTCTTGAAAAAGAATAAAGTTAAATTATAATCCAAATTCTTATCACCCTTGAAAAAGGAGTAGATAAGATGAGTTTCAGCAATGACGACGCAAACCCTAGGATGGACGCCTTTGAAGAAGAGGTGCTACGAAACAATGTCACTCACCAAAGACCCCATCACCGGCGTCGCCGAGGTGAAAGAACGGCCATGCTCACTGAAGGAATGACTCAAAAGTTGCGGGCATGAGAGATATCGCAACTCAGAATATGCTGATGCATGAATTCTTCATGCGAGGCCGAGGTCATCAGGGCTCCTAAATGCCCGAAGGATCTTGCCCAGCTCATGAAGTCCCTGTGTTTCGTTCTCAAGGCCATATGAGTCAGCACAGAGAACGCCCCCTCGAGAGAGAAGTGGATACGAAAGTCACATCCTATGTGCAAGGGAGTCAACCAATAGAACCACAATTACGGGACAATTTCCCACCAGAATATGAAGCACAAAGGTCAATCAGTGTCTTTGACTAAATAGGGTAGGACTCTAGTAATAGGGTTCGCTCAGTGCAAAGATTAGTTCGGAAACGGTAGGAGCAATCACAAGCAACCCTTCCACCTAGAAATAGGAAGGAGAAAAAGAACTTAGTTGATTGGGATAACCGAGGAGGAGCACCTCCACCTCCCCAGAACATGCAAGATGATGAGGGCTCCGAAAGGCCCTATCAATCTTACGAGATTGATGATGATGATGATAACCTCCCTTTCTCAATGGAGATCCGAAGCTCCCTAATGCCTGTGAATTTCGTGCCCCCTAAAATCCCCAAGTATGAAGGAAAATGGGACCCAGAAAAGCACCTTACCAAGTACATGACACAGATGAGCCTCAGGAGAGCCTCGCCTGCTTTGAAATGCAGAGCCTTTCACCTATCCGTGGCTGGAGTCGCCGAAATGTAGTACAGCAGACTACCTCCCTTGAGCATTAGGAGCTGGCCAGATCTGAAAAAGGCATTCTTGAACTAGTACCTCTCACGTAGAGAAGGAGATGCCCCAGTGCAACGCCTGCAAGATATGAGACAAGCCCCTGGAGAAATGCTGAAAAGCTACCTCGCCAGGTTTACGGATGAAATCACATACTGTGAATAGGTCACTGACAGAGAAGCCCTTTCAACCTTAAAAGACGACCTCAATATGAACACTTTGTTCTTGAGGGATGCACGCAGCAAGAATCCTACTACTTATAACGAACTGGTATAAATAATGAGAGTTGAAATCGTCAGTGAAGAGATGATTGATCACCGAAATCATGCTGCGCGGGAACTCCCTCCGCCTCAGAGGCAGGTAGGTTAAAGACCCGTAGCACACCTTATCATCCAGCAATGGACCCAAGTAGGGCATACAATAGCTCCCACTTTCGAACAGGCACTAGCTTCTGCCAAGCTAAATGCAGTACCGGTATTGGCATACGAGAATGCACCTGCCGAGGCAGGACCATCTAGGGGTACTGACAATAATCAAAAGAAGAAGAAGAAGAAGAAGAAGAAGCAATCAAATAGACCCTTAGAAGGGCCAAAGTTCTGCACCTTTCATCAATTCTATGGACACGACACCAGCGAATGCAGAGACGCTCCTCGATGCTCGAATCGGAATAACCCACATCCTCCCAGGAAGGACGAACATCCTCGCAGATCCGCCTTCCCGAATAGGGGAGAGAGGAGGCAGATAGATTAGTCACCCCGGAGAAGAGAATCGAGGGACAGATGAGAGTCCAGACAGAGAGATCAGTCCCCATTTTTCGGAGGCCAAATCATTAAGAAAATTGACAAGATCATTGGGGGACCTCACATCGGTGGCAACACTAGGAATGCCCAAAGGAGCTACACAAGGGAAGCAAATGATCCACCAATGCTCATGTACATCGTCAACCAGTCCCAAAAAGCCAACAGTATGGCCCCGATTACCTTTTCCCAAGAAGGTGCACAACGAGTTCACCACCTCCATTGTGACGCGTTGGTAGTAAGAGTCGTAGTGGCAAGAAACGGACTCAAACGCATGCTCGTCGATAATGACAGCTCGATGAATATACTGTTCGACTCTAACTTTGACAAAATGTAAATTAAACTTAGGTCAATCCCCATGACCGATTTACTATTTGGATTTACTAGAGACAGCATCGTCCCACGAGGATGAATTACTCTGCCCATCGAGATGGGTTCAGCTCTCTTAGTGGCCCAACATTTCATGGAATTCTTGGTAGAATACCACAGATCAGCCTACCACGGAGTATTGGGCAGACTCGCCTTGAAGGATCTTTGGGCTATCATCTCCATCCATTACTTGTGTATGAAGTTCCTAACTGAGCATTGAATTGCTACGATCCGAGGTGACCAGATGGGCTCTAGAGCATATTACCTAAACTCTCTGCAAAAATCAGAGCTCCGCATTGTTAACGTGATCATAACGAAGGTTGCAAATGAAGCCGACGTAGACGTGGAAATGCTTGATGCCCTTGAACAAGGGTATACCTTCGAACAAGAGGAAGACGTCGACATGGAAAAGGCTCCTGAAGAAGGGCACCCTCCTGATGAGTTAGACCCCCGAATAACTGACTCAGAATCGAATGCGACCCCAATGGAAGAACTTGAAACGTTCTCCATCAACCCAGAGGACTCCAGTCAGGTCTTGCGAATTAGAAAGGCACTGTCCTCGGAAGCGAAAGAAGAAATGATAAGCTTCCTGAAAAAGAACTTGGATGTCTTCGGTTGGAAGCACGAAAATATGGTGCGAATAGACACAAGTATCATTTACCATCGCCTTAACATCAACTCCTCCTGTGCCCCACATCAGCAGAAAAGATGAGCCCTCGACCAGGAGCGGTACAAGGCGCTCAAAGACGAAGTCAATAAGCTTAGCCGCAGCAGCTTCATCAGAGAAGCCATATATCCGAAGTGGATATCCAACCTGGTCCTTGTGAAGAAGCCTAGCGGGAAATGGAGGGTGTGCATAGACTTCACGAACTTTAAGAAAGTATGCCCTAAAGATAGCTTTCCACTGCTGAAGATAGACCAACTTGTGGATTCCACTGCTAAACATGAACTTTTGAGCTTCATGGATGCGTACCTAGAGTACAACCAGATACTCATATTCTATCCTGATGAGGAAGCCACATCGTTCATCATAGACAGAGGACTGTACTGCTACAAATTCATGCCTTTCGGATTGAAAAATGTTGGAGCTACATATCAGAGGCTGGTCAACATGATGTTTGCCGAACTCATTGGTAAAACCATGGAAGTTTACGTGAACAACATGCTTGTTAAAAGCTTCCAAGCGAATGAACACATAAGTCACCTCGACCAGACCTTTCAGATTCTTAGAAAATATAAAATGAAGTTGAACCCCCTCAAATGCATCTTCGGCGTGACTTTGGGTCAGTTTTTGGGATACATTGTGAACCAAAGGGGAATTGAAGCAAATTCGGTAAAGATTAGGGCCTTACTGGATATGAGGTCACCTCAAAAATCGAAGGAGGCCTAGAGCCTCGATGGTTGGATAGCCGCACTCAGTCGCTTCATCTCCAGGGCCACTAATAAGAGCCTACCCTTCTTCAAAGTGTTGAAGCAAGGAAAGAAGTTCCAATGGACCGGTGAGTGCGAGGAAGCCTTCCAAGCACTGAAGAAGCACTTAGGAGAAGCATCTTTGTTATCCAAACCAAAACCATAGGAATCGCTACTGCTATACTTGGCGGTCTCGGACGAGGCAGTCAGCATAGTCCTAGTCAGAGAAGAAAACGAGCACCAATTGCTGGTATACTATGTCAGCAAAGCACTACTCCCAGCAGAAATACACTATTCAGACATGGAAAAACTGGCACTCGTCCTTATCACGGCATCAAGGAAACTAAGGTCGTACTTCCAGGCCCATTCAATTGAAGTTCTCACCAACTTTCCATTAAAGTAAGTGCTGCAGAGAACGGATGCTTCGGGCCGCTTGCTAAAATGAGTAATCAAACTCAGTGAGTTTGACCTACTATTTCAACCCAGACACCCCATGAAGGGCCAAGCCCTTGCAAATTTTGTAGCTAAATTTACCAAGGCCCCAGAAATGGAAGCGACAATGGAACCAATCGAGCCCCAACATGAACCTGTTCGTGGATGGATCCTCAGGAGAAATTGGCTCTAGAGCAGGGATCGTCTTGGAAAGCTCAGAAGGCCACAACCTAAATTGTGCAGTAAGGTTCGGCTTCAAAGCCTCAAATAACACTGTCGAATATGAGGCCCTCCTAGCAGGCCGTAGACTTGCGAAAGAAATATAGGTCAGAAGGCTCCTGGCAAGCAGCGACTCTCAACTTGTAGTGAGTCAGGTTAACAGGAACTTTGCCGCCAAAGATAGTAACATGGCTACATATCTAAAATTAGTTCTGGACCTAGTTCCTCATTTTGAAAGGTTTGAATTGATCCAAGTCCACGCCTTTAGAACACTCATGCAAACGCCCTATCAAAATTCGCCAGCAGCAAAGATTCAGAGCTACTAAAGATTGTCCCCATTGAACGCTTGTCGAAGCCCTCCATCTTCAGAGGTGAAGAGTTGTTATGGATAGAAAGTACCTCATTATGGATGCAACCCATCATGGCCTATCTTAAGGATCAATCACTACCAGCTTTGAGAAGCGAGGCGAAGAAGTTAAGAAGAGGAGCTGCACACTTCATCCTACAGGAGGATATCCTGTACAAAAGAGGCTTTGTCTCACCACTTCTCCAATATGTAGGAGGGAAACAAGCCACGTATATACTTAAGGAGATCCATGAGGGAATCTGCGAAAATCACTCCGGAGAATGGCTCTGGTACACAAAGTACTCCAACAAGGCTACTTTTGGCCGATTCTGAAAAGGGATGCTTGCCAGTTCATTCAGAAATGTGACAAGTGCCAGCGCTTCTCAAATATTCAAAGACAGCCTTCTCAGAGCCTCTCCGTAGTCACCAATCCGTGGCCATTCGCCAAGTGGGGCATCGACTTTATTGGTCCGCTCCGAAAAGGAAGAGAAGCGCGATTTTTGCCATTGTCCCCATTGGCTACTTCACCAAGTGGGTCGAGGCTGAACCTCTTGCCAAGATCACCGAGGCGAATACTAATAAATTTGTCTGGAAGAACATCATTTGCAAGTTCGGCATTCCCCACTCCTTAGTGTCTGACAATGGGAGACAGTTCGACAGTAAGAAGATGCGAGACTTATGCAATGAACTGAGGATACAGAAGGATTTCTCAACGCCTCATCACCCCCAAGCAAATGGGCAAGTTGAGGCAGTAAACAAAACCATCAAGCATACTTTGAAAATGAAGCTTGACACCTCGAAGGGGGCTTGGGTCGATGAGCTTTCCCACATCCTTTGGGTCATGCACACAACTAGCCGAACTACGGCAGGGAAAACACCATTTTCAATGACCTATAGGGCCGAAGCCATGAGCCTAGTCGAGGTAGGAGTCCCATCGCATCGTCGAATACACTTTAATGAGATCAGAAACGACGAAACTTGACTATACGAACTCCACTTCCTTGAAGAAATGAGGGATACCTCCCAAGTGAAATTGGCTAAGTATCAAAGAAAGATGACCCGCTATTACAACTCAAAGGTCAGAAATCAAACTCTTCGGCTGGGGGACCTCGTCCTTAGAAGGGTCTTCCAATCATCCAAGTAGACTGGGTCTGGAGTGTTTGGACTGAACTAGGAAAGTCCTTATCGCATCCGCAAGGAGTCCCGACATGGCACTTTTGAAATTGAAGACATCACAGGGAGAGTACTGCCTCATCAATGGAATATCGAACACTTGAGGAAGTACTATCAGTGATGAACGTATGATTCGATCCGATCTCAATGTTGTCTAATAAGTGTTTGTCATGGTTCGATCTCATTTGTAACTTCCCTATCTTACTAAGTACTGAAATTTCCTATCTCATTTGTGCCACATCAGTTAATGAATTGTTACCTCAGTTTTTCGATATGTTATTAGTCCGATCTTCTTTTATCAACTAGTTATTGGTAAGTGGTGCTTAATAGTTACTTAAGTACTTATCATTCATTTACTCAAGTATAGACAGTTTAACATAAGGAAAAGGAAGAAGCAATAATACTTAAAACAAAAAATTTCATTCCATTCATTTTAAACTAGGTTACAAAAGGAAGGTCGAAGCCATTACAAAAATTGCCCTACTCTACTGGGGCCTCTGGAGCTTCCTCGGCAGCCTCCAATGGGCGGCCTCCAATGGGCCCACCGAACTCTGCCTCCAAAGAGGATATGTCAAAAGTCGAGTGGACCTTCTTCAGCCGACCCAATAGTCCTT